GTGTCACGGAGCATATCCGATCAAAGAAGTGCGATACTACGCCATAATAATTTCTAGTAAGAACCCTTCCGTCACAATCCCTCATCTCCCCAGAAAAACATCTGCACATCTCTCTGTCTCAGCATGCTCATGATAAAGCGCACACCTTGCTCCTCTCCACGGCTTACATGCCTCCCATTTCTTTACGTCCCCGGTTACACCAACTGCAATATCTTCCTGCTCCTCTAAAACCCCAAGTCTCCCTCTCCCATCCTCCCACCTTGCCATTGCAACACTCCCCTTCACACACCGTGTACAAAATGCCACACAACAGTCTTCACAAGCCACCGCCCCAAACCTAGGTGGCAGCACAATCCCGCAGTAGTCGCAAGCACGAGTGGTATGCCACGATACCGGACACCACATCCGCAACCGATGCCTCTGCATAGCCTGCACACATGGCCTCTTCAAATGCACAGTCAGATCGCGAAGAAAGTCTTCGTGCCACCAATCCCCATGCGAGTCTATTAATCGATCTGTTTTCTTGAACGCGAAGAGATCGAGAATGAGGGTGCGTAAAGGTGACGAATCACGAATTTCTTCGTACAGAATACGAGTATCAGAAGGTGTCAGAACGCTATTCGTCTCATCAGCTAGATCGCTAATCACGTCCACGACAGCATTCCTGGCGCCTTCTAGAGCTAGTCGATCGGCCAGAGCGTAGACATGGAGGAGAGTATAGTATGCTGGTTTTTCGTCTTTGAAAGGTGTAGATAGAATGGAGGTGTAGAGCCAGGTGACGAGGAGTTGGAAGTGCTCAACGGAGACATCATCAAGTGTTATACTGTTGGTTTCTGATTCTATGAATACTAACGGGCCGTTGAGTGCGGCGCGAAAGTAGGAGGATTTCGATGTAAGGAGGCTAGTGTGAATTTGGAAGGGTGTGAGATCGGAGCCAACTAGAATTCTGCTGGTCGTTGTGAAGTCGGAGGTTTTTGTCCTGTCAGACATGAGTTTGTATGCTTTTCCGGCGTACGTCGAGGTCGGGCGGGATAAAACGTGAGCTATTATGCAACCATTCTGGCTGATGATTTGGCTCACTTTCATGTTTAACGTACCTTGTCTGCTCAGATCGTGCACCTGTAAATGTATATGGTGGTGGAAGATTTGGTAAGAAACCACGATCTGTGTCAATACCAACGCTGCGTGGTGCAACTTTGCGCATCATGCTTTCTGACCAGATTCCACAAGCCAAGGTCCTATGGTTTTGCTATCTGCGGCCCATACAGTGCGCTGGTTAATGTAAACCAATATTCAGATGAAGATGAAGAGCTTTTAGTCAAACTTGGCCTGGAGACTGTAGCTTCGAGTTTTGGAGGCGGAGGTTCAGTCAGCGCATGCAGGCTATCATTGAGTAAAGGAATGTTGTTTCAAAACGTATCCTTGAGTATATCCGTAAAAAGTAGCAGTGGAAAACGAACAAATCTCGGTATAGGATTTCGTTCAGCAAACAATCACGTTGTGGACGCGCGCGCAGGTGACGAAGATGGGCTTTGTTGTTGTTGTCTATAACAGCAAACGCCACGCCACAAGCAGGTCTTTGTTGTCTCAGCAAGATGCTTTGAAATCGAGCAAGACAAACAACATCGTACAATGAGCGAGAGAACAGGAAGAAAGTCCTTGTAGTGTTGGAGTGGAAAAGCGCGTTATGCGTCTATTTAATATTTTGATAATATCTGGGTCGTGGTTCTCGTAGCGTGCAACTACATGGCTGGAATCGTGGAACTAGTAAGGACCGTTCGAGATGATCAACTTGGAGCACTGAGTACTCTGTTCGTTGGTCTCGCGTTCTGTAGACTGCCTGCAAGACGGTACTACGTACGGCCGAGAACGGTTTAGGGAGAGAAATCTCACCAACTATTTTACACTCCTGCAAACGCCCCCAGATCGCTCAAAGGCTGAGGTACGTTACAGGTTCATACAAGAGAGCTTTTGAAAATTATGCACCTATGCGACAAAGTTCTTGACGTTGTTGAGCCACTTGATGTACTCCTTCTGCTCCTTGTGGTCAATGTAGTCGGGGATGAACAGTGCGAGACGGGTGTTGATGCCACGCTCCTCAAGGTACTTCTCAAGGAGGATCTGGAGGTCCTCGTCTAGGTTGCTGAAAGGAGGGCCCTGCTGCAAGTTAGAAGTGTTGTATATTATATGCAAGGTTTCCACATACAGTGTAGAGAGCGCGTCTTGACCAGTCTTTCTCAGCGGTGGCGGGGTCGGCTAGGTCAGCGGACGGGAAGTAGTAGAGGTCCTCGATGAGGAAGTCACCGTCCTGGGCGGTAGCCTCAATGGCAAGAGCACCCTTGCCGGGACGCTCGATGCGGATGCTGGCATGAGCAGGGAAGCCCTGCTGTTCACCGTCATTCTCATAGTCGTCCTCGAGCTCTTCACGGTCGGCGGGAGCAATGCGGTCCTCGGGGGCTACGCGAATGTTTCCATCTTGTGTCCTGCCCTGGTTGATGGCACCCTTGGTGTTGGCACCACCAGACTGTACGTCCATGTCGGCGTCGTCGTACATGGCGCTGTCTTCGGCCATGTCCTCGCCGGGCAGGTTGCTGTTGAGGTCGGCGGTGGTGAAGGTGATTCGGATCTTCTCGTCGTTGAACGTGCGGGTAAGGACTACTTCCTGGTTGCCGGCCTTGTCCTCAATCTTGTAGTTGTTAGCATTGAGCCAGCAAAACCAAAATGACGCAAGAATTTACCTCAAAAGGGCTGTTCTCAAGGTACTCCTTGATGTTGTGAGAGAGGTCCTCGTCCTCCTTCATGCCCTCTTCCATGGAGATCTCGCTTTGAAGCTTCGCGACGAGTTCCTCATTAACTGATTCATGTTAGTTATATACATCCAATTGTAATTTACTCAATGCGTACTACCAGAGTCCTCTCTCCTTGCTGCCGACATGGAGAAAGATGCTGTGAGACGAGGAATTGGAGCGGCCCATGCTGCTGGCTGGAAAGCCTGTCGCAGTGACGATTGCGGGCGAACGGCTTTGGTGGAGAAACGAGCAGCAGACCGCGGGGCGCTGCGGGCGAGGTTCCTTAGGGACATCATTGTGAATAAAAGGGTATATGAATTTGGAGTACTGAGCGACGATAAATTCCAGTACGATGGCAACGCGATAGATGGCTCTCGAAGGCGTGGACTTTTCGATGGCCCAAGCTCAAGCGGGCTGATGTCAGGCGGGATGCTTGGCGCCGAAATGCGGGCCCGATTGCTCACCTCCGTCCTCGGCCTGGTAGCTTTAATATTTTGCCGTCTCTAGGAAATTAAGTATATACTGGCGCGTTAGACATTCTGCCAATTGACAATCGCATTGTTCTCTGAGTGTGCTACCTTGGGTTTCAGTGTGAATTTACTACTACGTCATTATTCTGAATCGCTACTGCCGCACGCGACGTAGATACGCCAAAACTTTCCGTCATTGCAGCGCGCGCAAACCCATTCTTGTCATCACCTAAACACACTTGAGCCAGGTCAACATGGCGGCCGCACCGACAGAGAAGAAAAAGGCAAGCGCAATGCGCTCAATCCTGGCTGGTGCAAGTGCAGGAGCCGTGGAAATATGTAACGCTTGCTCTCCCGTCATGGCATATACTAAGTACTGACCCCACGCCAGCAATCACATACCCTGCTGAGTGTAGGCACTGAATAACATCCACTTGCACAACGACACCGAGCCTGACCCAAGCATAGTCGCGAAAACACGATCGCAACTCAACCGAAGATTGCCAGACGGAAAGAAGCTGCCATGGCCGCCGTTCGGCAAGCAGTGGTACGCTGGATGCACAACCTTGATCATTGGCAACTCGTTGAAGGCTGGCATAAGTATGTGGGAGAGAATCAACACGGAAGAGCGACCGTCTGACAGGTCGTGTAGGATTTGTCGCATTCGACATGTACAAGAACATGCTGGCGGACGCTGAAGGCAAAGTCTCCGGTCCAGCGACAGTAATAGCTGGATTTGGTGCAGGAGCTACAGAGTCACTGCTGGCTGTCACACCATTCGAGAGTATAAAGACGCAACTGTAGGTGAAATCGGACATATGCATGTGCCGTCACTCACTCATCCGCCTAGTATCGACGACCGCAAGTCGGCAAACCCACGCATGCGAGGCTTCTTACATGGATCAAGGATAATCGCACAAGAAAAGGGTATCCGTGGTTTCTTCCAGGGTTTCCTCCCAACCACAGCACGTCAAGCCGCCAACTCAGCTGTTCGTTTCTCGAGTTACACGTCGCTCAAGCAACTAGCACAGTCATACGTCAAACCAGGCGAGAAGCTCGGCGCCGTTAGCACATTCGGACTGGGAGGCCTAGCTGGCATAATCACTGTCTACACGACGATGCCTATTGACACAGTCAAGACACGTATGCAATCAATAGAGGCACGGAGCGCCTACAAGAACAGCTTCGACTGTGCGGCAAAGATTTTCAGGGATGAGGGTCTCCTCACCTTCTGGTCGGGAGCGCTTCCAAGATTGGGTCGACTTATCCTCAGTGGTGGTATCGTTTTCACCATGTACGAAAAGTCCATGGAGTTCATGGATAAGCTGGATCCACAAGGGCGCTACATATAGACATCCCCCTTGCTCCAGAATTAGCAACGAGTACAATACCCGGCCTCCTACCAATATCTCTCCTTCAACCTGTCATCAAAATCGAGGTTTCAGGTGCTTCATTCTCTCTATCTTCTCTTAACGCTTCTCCTCATTCAGGACAACCACCTATTAGTCTTACAGTGCGTGTCAATCTTCTTTTGCAAGTTGCTAACGCAAGACTTTACTTCTGTCACGACTCACCAGAAGGGAGATAGGGCACCGTCAGTGTGAATGGACAAAATCAAGCTCAACCCTATTGTTCACACTATGGGCTTGAAGATTTAAAAGCAACAGAATTCTGACCTCTACATTAACCTGGCCGAACCTCCACAGCTCCATCTTTCAACTCAGCTCTTCCCAAATCCGACATGGACTCAAACGGCTTCCGTACAGCACTTGATGCCGCCACTAGGTTAGCCAATTATTCCCTCTTGTGAACTTACTGAAAGCTAACATGTAATAGCTTCCTAGATACGCCAGTCGTCACGGTGTCTGTCGGTTCTGAGGTGGAGAACACAAAAGACTTCAGCGTCCACGAAGGTCTGCTCAAAGACCATTCTGCATTCTTCAACAACGGCCTAAAACCGAATCGTTTCAAAGAAGGCTTTGAGCGCCGAATATCCATGCCAGGGGACGATTCCAAAGTCTTTGCGCTTTACGTTCAGCTACTCTATCGTCCCGACCTGTTATCCACCGAAATAAAACGAAACAGCGAGCTCTCTGAGCAAGAGTGTATTCTCTTAGCTGAGCTATACGTGTTCGTGGAAATGATAATGGACGAGTCTACCAAAAACATCTTGTTAGAGGCCTTTAAGATTTTCTCATGGGAAAGGCCGTTTCCCGTTGCAGCAGCACAAATCATTTACAGTGGGACACCAGAACACGACCCTGCTCGTGCCATATTTGTACAATCATTATTCCGCTACGGCCAACAACGATCGCTTGAAAGTATCCTCGATACTGGACATCCCGATCTCTTTCGCGATCTCGCTTTCTGCTTGAGTAAGCGTTGCCATAAGGTACATGACAAGGTCAAGGTTGGTCGCAAAACCGTTCTTGGAAAGAGAAGAAATGCCCCGCCTCTCTACTTTCTATAGTGAGGACATATGATGAGGCTTAGCTAGATCATGATCTTCAGCAGCTATTGGTATTTGTTTCATTTTCCCTCACTGACTAGGTCGGGTGATTTTGCGTGTATTGTATCCTTCTAGCCAGAGGTATGAACAAACGAGTTTATGGATGGGCGTTCCCATATGTTGAACTGGTCTGTGGTCAAAGTGATTTTGAAACTTCACGTTTGTGTGTTATCATGCGTACCTTCACATTCACCTCCGCTCTGATCATTCGCACTTTTCAAACGCCTCAAACCCAAATCCACTTTCTAGCCTTAGGCATATAACTCTTCCCAGTCATTGCAAAGCAACCAAAGCAAGCCTGCAATTCAACGAATCAACAATTTCAGCGTACGCTGATCAGCTTCGCGAACAGGAACTTTTCTCAGCGCTGAAACCCCAAATCACTAGTCTTTCCAGCCCACTCTACGGTACACGTTCCGAAGATGCATCAAAGGTCTACGATGTGGTTTCTTACAGCATGCCTTCCGACAATGACAATGTCGAAGAGCAACCATCACAGCTAAGTTTCAGTGTAGCAATAATCCTCTACACAGGGCCTCCAGCATCACCCTTCACATCTTGGACATTGATCAGGCATGTGGAGAACCAACCCGATATGATCACTGGGGCAAATCGTTTGTTGGCAGATTTGAGGAGGGGCATGGGTGGAGTTGTTGGTATGTCTTTCCACCTCTACTCTTCTTAGCCCTTTCTTGTTCGTAAGCTTCGAGCATTCCAGAGGACATGGGGAGAAAAACACTGCCATACTGGTTAGCTGATGACATGATGAAAATAGGTGTTTGTATGCAGACGGGTAACTGGACGACAATACATGGGAGAATTCCCAATATTGTTCCGGGAGTGGGCGAAGTAAAGCTAAAGAAGTGCGAGAATGAAGAGGAATACGAGGAAGATCAGGACAGTATCGAACAGGACAACGAAGACGGTAAGAGAGACGATGAGAGCGACGAATTGGAGGACACCGGCAAGGGCGGCTGGAGCCCGCGATTGGAGTCTATCACAGAAGAAATATAGAAGCTTCTCGTATCAGATCTTCGATAGGCAGATGTTCCCCAAGTTAAAGATCAGTTCACGGGTATCAATTCAGTTGGAAGAAAGCAAAAATTAAGTTGAGAACACCAAAAGAACGCGAGTATCACATTGGAAAGCTACCTAAAGATACGTAAAGAGCAAATCGTGTACGTTTTCATCTGCCCGTGCCAATCGGACTCATCAGACCATTGCCACTACCGCTCGTGGGGCTGCGTACCATCATCGGCTTGATACTTTGAACAGGACTTAACGGATCTCGTTGGCTCGAACTCTGGCTGGAAGTGCCTGAGCTCAGACTGCCGCTGCCGTGACTGCGGTTGCGACCGTTGACTGGACCCGGAGTACTGAAGGGATTGCCGAGAATATATGTACCTGAAGCTGTGGGCTCATCGAAAGCATCGGTGAATCCAGAGACGTTGGAGAGCATTGATGAAGATCGACCGCGACCGCCACGCATAGAACCAGGAGTGCCGTTCATGTGCGAGTGCATGGAGGGGAATGTGAAGTTGGAGAGACCGTTGCTATAGGGAGACATGGTCGTGCCTGGGAGATTGCCTTCAGGAGTGGTAGGAACGGACATATGCTGGTGCGCTTGCTGAAGGAGAAGCTCTTCGTACTGCTGGACGGTCACCAAAATTTGACTGGTGGCGACATTCTGCTCTTCAGTGCGTCTTTCGTAGCCGTTGATGTTACTCCGATACTGGTGCTCAACTTCAGCGCGCTGTGCTCGCAATGCCGTGCGCTCCTGTTCTCTTCGTTGCTTCGCAGTAAAGCCCTCTGCGTTGGCGGTTACGAGACGGTCGTGCTGCTCGTTGAGCCTGGTTTGACGCTGCTGAAGACGCTCCCGCTTCTGGAAGGCAGTAGAGATATCGGACTCCACACTTTGCACTTGTCGCTCAATCTCCTCCTTGGTCTTGTCGAATTCGCTAGCAACGGTGTTTTTGTTGTTACGCTCCTTCTTCCACTCTGCCTTCTTAGCTGCCGCCTCTTTAGCCTCATCCTCGGGAATGCTTCTCAGGTTTTCTGCTTGAACGGCGAACTCGGCGGCCGCGTCTTCAGCCTGGCGGATGTTCTGCGTGAATTGAAGGACGCGCTGGCGTTGGCGCTCGTCACTACCTCCGGCGTTGGCAAGGCGGTTGCCCAGCGTGTCCACCTCTTTCTTGATGTTGGTAATGGCTGTTTTGTGGTCCTTTTTGTTTCGCTTCAGGCGGTTGCGCTGCTCCTGCAGTTGCTGGTCGGCCGCGGCAATCGAATTCTTCAAGGTTGTCGTCGGCGAAGAAGGTCGTAGGGTCTGATGCGCTGGCGGAGAGGCGATAGAAGCTGAGGCTGGAGTACGCATTAGCATGGAAAGGCTACTAGAATGGACGGACTTACCAAGTTCGGTCACTGGACTGGCCGAGGTAATAAGGCTCGCTGAGTAGAATACTTCGTTGTCGTTGGTCCGAACAAACTCGCAGTAGTAGTTTGAGAGAGCCGTTAGACCAAATATCTCTCCAACCCAGTAGCCCGTTCCCTCTTGTCCCTGGAAACCTATCGGCTCGCTTTGTCGGATGCGGGTTGAACTCCAATCAGCACCGTTGACACGGATGTAGAATGGCTTTGACTTGTCTATCCCAGATCCGACACTAGAATCTTCCTCATCCTGCTCTTGAAGGCCAGCTCCACCAGATAAACTAACACGAAATGAAATGTCGGAAAAGCCGACTTCTGAAATCCAAACACGATCGTCCTCCGATCTCCAAACAGCGTTTCCAATGTGATTTGCGTCTTTTGCATTAGCCTCGTCGGCATCGTTGGCCGCCCGGCTACTTTCCATCTCTTTTAAAACTGTAACTTTTGTACTGGCAAGTGCAGCCCAGAACGGCTGCTGACTGCGAACATGAGTAGCTTGCTTCCTCTTCCTTCTACCCGTGCTCGCTTTATCCTTGAGAACTGCGGGTGATGGTCCCGGTGGGCGGCCATCGGTACTCGAAGAATTGGGCACGTCGGCGGTGGGGTCGAGGTTGGTCGAATTGGAACGTTGTAATGTCCCAGACTCAGGATCTGTCTTCTTGCCAGTGGGCAAGGTTGCATGTTCTCTTCGAGAAAGAGAGCGTCGGATGATACGAACGACGCCTTGGGCCAAAATATGAATACCCAGGAGGCTGCGGGGCCATCCGTGGGGGGTCGAGAAGCTTTCCAAATATGTTGGCGTACTCGGCGGGCTCGTCAAGAATTCAAGGCCTCCCCGGGCGAGCCCCGTCCAAAGGAAGTGGATGATGTGTTGCCGAAGAGGCCTGAATCTGAAGACGTGGCTTGAAAGAATAATGACGAAGCATATGACAATGCTATTCGTCGTGCCCTTCTTCCCGGCAGCGGCACCTCCGAGGGCTATTGCAATGACGGCCTGTGCAAGATCCAGGAAGAAATTCTGCGCAGGCACCCACAGCAGCAGCCATATCAGCAATATGACAGTATCGGCAATGATTGTGGTGAAGAGCGAGGGCGTGCCGCCGGAGCCCTGGAAGATGTCGGTGAAGGAGGGGAAGGCAGAGAGGGCGGAGAGGGGGGTCCCGGCCTGGGGTGGGACAAAAGTAAGCGTTGCGAACAAGAACTGTACGACAGTGAGGACGGTGGGGGGAAGTTGGAGGAGGATGATGAGGATGGCGAGAACGTCCCGCAGAGGACAGGACGTGAGAATGGTGGCGGGCACCGAGAGCATGCTAGCCATGGACATGGAGGCCGTCTTGGAGGTGTTTGTGTCGGCGCGGCGAAGAGCTGAGGGCATGGGATCAAAGGGCCCGTTGGAGCCATTGTCGTACGAGCGACAGGCCTCGACGGGATTGTCTAGCGAGGCATCTGAAGCTGCGCGCGTGCGCTCCCCGCGGCGGGCAGAAGGTGCAGCGGCCATGGTGGTGTTGACGTGGGCACTCGACCCCGGTACTGGATCGTGAGCGCTGGCCGGCTGCGTCATCTCGGGCGTGTCTACATGGCTGGGGACCGGCGGCGTGGGCTCGTGAGTCTTGCCGTTGGTGTGGCCATTGAGCTGCGGGTTGCTCTTCTGCTTGGTGATCTTCCTGCCGGGGGCCGCAAGGCCATTCTCGTGTCGCTTGTCGTGCGCCGCGTTCCTCTTCGACTTCGCTACCATAGACGGCGGTGCGGGTGCAAGCGGGCAAACCTCTCCCTGGCGCGACTCGACTGCTGCACAGGACGAGCCAGGACTGGAAGATGTTGAGCCGCTGCTCGGTGGGGGGGATGTGAGGGTGTCGTGTGCTGCTGGGCGAGATGTAGTAGGGGAACGAGGAAGGTGCCCTGCGCCTGCTCAGTCGTGCCTTCCGCCGGATGGACTGGTGCCAAGACTTGCAAGTGCTAAACGTCAAATGCAAAGTCAACCAAGAAAACCCGTCCACAAGCCTCGAGGGAGTGGGCCACAGCACGATCAGAGCACTGACAAGCCACGATGCACCTGCCGCTTGATTTGCCTGTCTCTTCCGAGGCTCCACGTCTTCTGAGATGCCCGAACCGTGGTTTCACCACGCCCGCCCGCTTCACATGCACACCACATCCTCTCTCTCCACGCACCACACCGGCGGCAAAATTCCATGTGCCCGGCTTCTACCGCTTCATGGCAACCATGCGGCCAGCATATCTTGATGCTGCTGCCACGCAGATCAGCCGAACTGTGTCCGATTTCAGTTCACGATGCCGATCTTGACCACGACCAGGAAGCCGTGAATGCTGTTTAGCTGGGAAGCGAAGACCGGCCTGTCGCTCTCGGGCTGCCATTTCGCCTCTCTCCCACCTCATCTCGCCTTCGTCTACATAAATTCTCCGCCTGCTTTCTTTTCCATATCGCACAGCTGCATCGCCCGCCAGACAAACACATCTTCTGGGGCAGCCAATTAGCCTGCGCCGGCTTCTTTAGCTTACCTGCTCATTTGCGTGCGCCAGGACCCCCCTGAGCCATAGCAAGCTCCAGGAGCGAATAAAGGCGCGCTTTGTCTGTTCACCGCATGGCCTGAAGTCTCTGCAGCGGGCAAACCCCGCCGACGCTATTACTCACGTCGCCGTCACGACCATATTACATACGCGTATAGAGCGCTTCTGCCTAGATACTCATTGCTACATCTCGAGTGCACACAAAGTCTGAAAAGCTCATGCCACTCATTGCGCCACATGCCCTCGAGTATGCTGACCCGGGTCTTTGTCGGCATCTCAGAGTGGTCGGAGCATTTTCATCAATCTGTGTTCCCTCGAGGCGAGCATAGCGCGCAAGCCTTCCGCCTGCACATCCATGACCCTCTTCCGCCCTCTGCATTGTGCCGGCGTGAAGCTTAACCAACCACGCCAATCGCAGCCCATTAGACTTGCAAATGAGGCAAGCGGGAACATCACGCGCGCAACGGGCTTGCAGATCTCTGCAATAGGTAATTAGAACATCCCATCAAAGTGTACATCACTGTGGTGAGAATCACGCCATGTTGTGGATACGTTCGTAGTTTATCTTTTTTCCGTATCGCTTGCAGAGATACGCTTGTATCCGACTGTCATACGCCGAATTCGGACACGCGAGCAACCCCGCGTGTTTTCCGCCCATGCAGCTGCAGGGGTATCAATGTGTGATGATGATAGATATGACGATACCTATGTAACGCTGCTAGTCAATCCTACTCTACGACTTGTATTGTCATCGATTAGCGTTGCCGACAGCTTCGCAGTACCGAGGCAAGTACTTTCACGGGCCAGGGGAAACAGGACATCAGGACACAATTTCACGAATCCGAAGTTTAGACCGACGTATAGACATTCAGGGTCTGATATCGTGGTTTCTTGCAAGTATATCCATGTTCTACTGATTCGCGCTACCAAAGTCTTCCTTAGCATCCGGTCTATCCCAGCTGCTCTTCTCTAGCTCCCTAACTCTGTCCAACAGGACTCTGACTCTGTTGCTGTTCTTCTCTTTGGCTTCTTCCTGTAACTTGAATGTCTCTTGTAACTTCTTGATCATGAAAGGTGGCAAAGGCGACTTCTTAGCTGTGCGGTAGTCGTATGTAACGATGTCTTCGACACAACGTGCTGCTGGACGACGCTGTGCTTCTGAAAGGATCATTACGTCCAAGATGAAGTGGTCACTGTTTTCAGACGGGTTGTCCCGAAGCTTGTGAAGTACGGTAATCCTGATAGTTAATCCGTCAATCGTTGCTCACTATGCATCGTTGGAGATCATACCTATCAGGCCATTTCATAGGCTAAATCTTCTTAGCGGATGTTTTGAAAGCTGAGCAACCGGAGTTCCTAGCGTTCGGTACTCACAAACTTGTAGTCCGTCTTAATGCTTCTCAAGATCAAGCCGACGCTCTTTGGGGTCATGAGCTCCATCCATTCAGCTTTATGCTGCGGATCCATTGCGGCGAAGTTCAGCGTCCAGTTGACTCTAGCCGATTCCGCATACCGGTTGTACATGACATTGTTAACGTGACCTATCTCATATTAGAGCTGTGTATGTGAGACTCAGGCATAGAAATAAGTACCCTTCACATCTATTAGTATGGGTCAAATTGCATTTTTCCCCGGACGTCTTACCATGCTGTCCTACACACAGTCATGACTTATGTTAGCCGGTGTACACAAGTTTGCTGGGTGGTACTCCAACCATTTCTCCCCATACCACCTCTTGTCGGTAAAGACCTCGCCATTGCTTGCCTGTGAGGAAGCCTTCGCTTCCAGCTACAAGTTCCCTCCCTACAGATTACAAGTTCAGCTAATATTCAGGCGATCAAGACATGCGAGTGTGATCTTACAGTCTACCGTAGTCTCTTGTAATATCGACCCAGCTTCTTCAATCTGTGCGGGGTTCATTCCGAAATCGATGCATTTCCCGATGCGTGTTCGCAGGTCGGATAGCCATCTTGGGCTGAGAGCTGCAGTGGCTGGTGCTTCTACATCAGTCTTCTAGTTAGCCACCGGAATGCTAAGGCTCAAATTGTCTCTATTCGCTCGTGTGATGGTAAACATGAGCTCGTGTGTGAATTTTGAGCATACGGCATGATTACTTGGTTGGCAATGCTTCGTGATCCATTTCCTTCTCCTTTTGGCCAAATTGTGCATGTCATGATCAGATGTGAATGATGCAGTCTTACTGCTAGAAACAATGAATTTAAGACCACGTACCGCTCGAAGTAGACTGATACCGCACATGAGGAACTCTTTGTACAACCGGAACAACCAGCCACGTGGGTCTAGAACGAAAAAGCGCTGAGCGCCCCAACGGTCGCACAGCACTCATGATTGCCAAATTTACAGGCCAATGAGATATCAAATGCGGTGGTATTCACAAACCGTTGTAGCAAGCCCTTGAGAGCTAGGGCGTTTCTTTCCGAGGATGCGGACGGAGAAGACAAGCCGAGGATCCGCTTCCCCTACGGCCAGCTATCTTCATCCTCAAGTTCGCTAGCCGCAACATACGTCAGGGATGCGGGCCCGAGCGTTTGCTACAATTACTCCGCATTCCAACTCAAAGACACGTAATTGACATCTGGCAGCCATCAAAACCAGTGTTTTCTATTTCCGTATATTCATCTGTCTACAAACTCGAACATGGCTTCCCCGAATCCCGCGCTTCGCCACCAGGTCATTCGGATATACAAGGGTGCGCAGAAGTGCTCGACCGAGGCTCTTCCCTATTATGCAGATGGACTAATGGCATGTAGACTTGCTTTTCATGGGCCGTGAATATCCTCAGGGATACGATTACTTCAGAACACGTCTGCACAAGGCATTTGCAAGCCAAAAGAATTTGACCGATGAAGCCAAAATCAAGCAGGGTATTGAGAGAGCGGAATACGTGAAGAAAGGTAAACTCGCCTGGAACGAATCTGATTAGGACAAAGCTAATCATTGTGATCTAGAAATCGAAGCACTGTATGTCCAAATAACTCAACAAATACGATTGGAAGCTTTCCCTAACTAGATTCAGATACTATCTGAAGCGTTATCGCACCTTGCGCCAGCGCTACGACAAACTCGCCTGAACGCTCCAAAAAAGAATACCCAACGCTTTGCCGACGGTGTGGCCTTGCGAAGACCGGGATATCACAAAAAGACAAGGTACGCCCGCTCTTCGAACTTTACACCTTCTTGCACCACCAGATGCCTACTTCCAGACACTCACCACTCGAGGCACCTTTCTGCTCAAGCAGATCGTTGATCATCGAGTTCCAATAACGCTGCCATTCCTCCTGGTTCTTTCCGCTAACTTCTTTAAGTAGAGGCTCCAGACTCTCGATCAGTTGTATGACGACAAGCAATGCGGTGTGTCTCAGAGCCGCTTGTTCCTTTGTCAGAATGGAGCTCTCCAGCATCACGCTTCCCTTCTTGAGCTTTCCAGCCTCGCTTCCACGCCGCTTCATCGTCTCGCCCGCAGCCTCGCGCTCCCACCGTGGTTCACCAAGAGGGATTGCTACCCTGCGGCTATTCATGTCGCACAGAGTATCTGTCTCCTGGAGGATGATCTGCGCTATACGGGAACAAGGGGTTGGCGAGAGCTTGCGCCGGTCCAGCGCTTCTTGAATCCAAGAGTTGGAGTCTTGGAGGTACTTGTTCTGCACATCGGTAAAGGGCGTTGTATGCGAGATCAGGAACGTGCCAGTCGACTCGGCGACAGCGTACTCTTCAGGGTCTTTGCCTGGCGGAGGAGGAGGATGTGGCTGGATCGATCGGATAATATGGTCCGTCTCCCATATCTCCAACGTGCCCTTGGACTTCAGGACCCGCGTACATTCATCGAGTATTCTCTGCGACGGTACTCCCAAGGGTATCACCATACTCAAGTCCTTCATGACGACGATGTCGAATTCCTCATCGTCGAATGGCATCGGCAACTTGCGCAGATCATGCTGCACAAACTTCCAATCGATGCCCTGGCGCTGTAAGTCCCCCGCGAGGTTGACGATATCGAGACCGGTGAAGGAGACGTCCTCGTGGCCTAGGTCTGCTTACAGTCAGCTCTGAACGATAATTGTGCAAGCTGTGCGTGGCGCCCGGAAGAGGGCGCAATCCGCAACTACCTGGTGTTCGATGACATACTACTCAGATATTCATGACACACAGCGGACCAGTATCCCGAGCCACATGCAATCTCCAACACTTTTCTCGGGGGGTATGATGGGGTCGAGCCCAAGGCCTTGCCGAAGACAGCTGTCGCAAGGAGGGTTTGTAGGTTCTGGCGGTGGAGCTCGGGCAGGTCGCATGGGAGCGGATAGCCCTGAGCGCTTCGAATGTAGCGGCGGCCGTGGCGCAATATGAAAGGTTCGGTGGAGGGGACGCCAGGGTCGTCTCTGATGCTTTGGGTGGAGCTGCTCGACATGGAGCCCCGCGTTATATCCATGTTGTTGTTTGGGTGGAGGCGTGGGCCGGAGGAGACAGAAGCTGAGGAGGCGGATATGGTTCTACCGAGAGCGTCTGTGGTGGTCAGATCCCATTGCTTTGCTTCGACTGTCTTGGGGCGTATGGGCGGGCTGCTGGCGGCGTTGGAGCCGTAGTAGCGATACTGTGGTTCAAATTAGCAACAAAGGTTCTCTCGTAGAGCGCCAACAGTGTGTTCTTGCCAACTGCCAATCACCCATAGAGACGATCTGGAAGCGTGCTCGAGGTTATCCAGCCTACTCCAACCCTTGCCCCACTGTTTTAGCGGGAGCGCGATATTGGGCCGGTCTTTAGTCGTCTGATAAGCACGTGTAGGCGAGTCAGCAATTAATGAGCGGAACGGCGGAGCGGACGCGATGGCGGGAACAGTGCTCGACTGGAGAGAGATCAGATCAGAGAATGGAGCCAGCATGCCGTGTATGTGTGAATGTAGTAGCTTCGGCACAGCTCCGGTTGTGGGAGGCAGCTCAGGTGAGGAGCTGCCAGGCCAGCCGAGGAGACATCTCCAATCAAACGACTGCAGCTGCGGCTGTGTGAATCCCCAGGTTCTCCATGGCAATAAACATGGCTAGGCTGTGCGAGCGCCGCCGCGAAGGAGCAGCTTTTGGTGATGTGGCGCTCGTCTGCAGGAGCGCGGCATCAGCCGAACCTGTCCTGCAGGTGATATTCCAGCGTGGGGAAAGCCCGAGTCTAGCAGTAACAAGCTCACGGTGTATGCAGTGCACGACGGATACGAGGACCACAGGGGAGGGGTTCTCGGTGTCACCAACAATCATGGACTATGTGAGCTGGCTGTTAATACATAACCTGATGCATGGTAGCAAATGGGTACAAGCTAAAAGTGCATAGGAATGCGTCGTTGCTGGAGTCGCATTCATGGAAATCAATGTGTATTTACGCATGACGAATGCTGCCACTTGTTTCAAGGCTGCAATGTATATCATTAGCCTTCCAGCGCGCTCGATCCAGGCCAGGTCGCGAGTGAACAGATGGGCAGTTTCATGGCTGTGGATCGACGCTTCCATGTCACGTGTCCCGCTAAGCGGCGCTCCCCATGGATCGGGCAAGGTTCGACTGGGCTTCACGTATCGCATCACTACGCTCTCTATTCTTCACAGCGCTGCAGTTGGACCCGCCCACAGTCTGTCTGGTACAATTGAGACTGATTGCCCTCCTGCGCGCCCTTTGACATCCTCAGCTGCCGTACGTGCGCCGCTTCCACACGCTTCTGCCGCCCTCTCCAAGCTCCACGTCCAACCTCTTCGATTCCCCGCTACACCAACTGACAGCTCCAGAACAGTACAAGCCCGCCGGGATATCAATACGAGCCCTGTGGCCGAGACCTTTATTACCAACACGCACCCGACCACCCAGACACCGCCCCCCTCGCTCGCTGTCGAGTCCCCGCTCCAACATCTCCCTCACTCGCGACCCGTTGGGCTGTCGATACATGGTATACGGGTGCCGCGTCTGTTAGCGCGTGCTCATGTCGGAGAGTCAGTCGGGCGCCCATGTTAAAACGAAGAAGATCGCGTGCCCGAACCCTTCCTCCCACCTGACGCCCTCGCTCGCCTTGAAAACCCGCGGCTTTCACCCTCCATACGCAAAGCCGCCTGCGGGAATCCGTCCTCCCTCCGCCGCGATTCCCTTAGATGGCCGAGTACTCGGTCTACCCCAGGGGAACCGGCAATACCTTCTATCCACAACACGCACAGAATATACGCAACCTCCCCAGCCGAGTGCGGTCACCCACATCTAGCGCTCGCATACCTTTCCCCAACCCCGACACCCCCTCACCTTCGCGATCCCCTGGGCGCCAGTCTTCTCCGCAGCAGTTCGGCATGTTCAACAACGCCCATGGGCACCAGGGCCAAAACGTTATGATGAACGGGCGAGCTGGGCACCAGAATTTCATGCAGCAGATGAATTTGGGAAAGCCTTTCCAACACAACCAGCACAACCAACATCAGCACCAACATCAC